GACGTCTCTTACAGATTTAAAGAGACGAAATGAGCTATCACCCAATAGTTCAGTTCCAATCACCGAATATACTAGTATAGTTCTAGCGTCACTGATACTACTAATGATCGTTATTTGAGGACATTGTACGGACGTACGAACAATTCATGATTGGTTCAATTTATGTTATTTCCGGGATCGTATAAGCACATGGACTACAAAATTACCTCAAATTCAAGTCTGCTCAGAAACTCCTGTAATTAAGACAAAGTTGCACATGGTAACAGTTATTAACAACATTGATGGCTTTCAATCTATGCCCAGGATACTACAGTAGTTGAACGTATCAACATTTACTCGGTCATTTCTGTAACTTTGCTACGTCTTGGTATGATGGTTAATCGTCTTCACGGCACTTCTCTACAGTTTCTAACTCCATGGATGAATGGAAATAATAGTATTGCTTACCGCCATCGACAGGTTTGATGGTGTATGTCTTCACTGTGCCAACTTGCCGAGGTTGAAAGTAGGAAGAAAAGATGTGGCCACGATAGAAAATGAGCTAGTGCGTCCCTATGGCTAAAACAAGCAAGCAGATATACCAGTACCGTTTTTTCTGCATGCCAAACATGGTGGACTATTAACTCGATGATAGTCTGGACGAATTAATTAGTTGGAAATGAAGTTATTCAAAACGCTACAGGGATTTTAATAGTCATATGCTAGATTTGAGTAGCATCGTTTACTCTTCAGCTTTACTTAATATATTCGGATTTTTATTTCCCCTTCTTCTTCATTCTTAAACTTGACAAGAATCTTTATTAAAATAGCTACCTGCCATGATAGACACAGTATGTAGTCATCTTGTCCAGCATAGATACTATTTAAGGGATTTTAATAGCTATATGCTAGATTTGAGTAGCATCGTTTATTCTTCAGCTTTACTTAATATATTTGGATTTTTATTTCCCCGTCTTATTCATTCTTAAACTTGACAAGAGTCATCATTAAAATAGCTACCTGCCGTGATAGACAGAACATGTATTCATCATGTCCAGCGTGNATACTATTTATGGTATCAATAGCATCGTGAAATGACATGATAAATTCCACATTAGTAAATGAGTTCAATAGTACTCAAGAGTCATTTATATTCACGAATAACGAGATAAACTCCTCAATAGTAAATGAGTTTAATTATTTTNTCATTTATTATCAAGCAGCACGGGGGTATTTATACTACTGTTAGATGACTTTGATTATGGGTTGATTTCAATAGGTCTGCATAAGATTCTTACAGTACTTTTGACCTCAAGATTTCTTCATGTAAAACGAATAGCTCCAAAGGTAGTAATTTCTAATTTCTAAAGAGTACTCATTTTTGAAATAGTATTCGTTATATCGCTAAGGGTGGCCACTGGGCCTTTCAATTTTGATTTCATGTAATACTCTGATGAAAATTGAATAAACATAGAATCTTTATAGAGTTTTCTACTCAGCCATTTTGATTGTAACATTTTCTTATAACGGTTGTTATCGACAGAGCAAGCTTTGCTTGCATACGCAAGCGATCCTTGGACACATTATCATGATTGGTATAAAATTGACCACAGTACTAAGGACATTGTACCGCACTGTCGATATCTTACAGTACCTGCTAATCTTAACTTGATTTGTCCATCACCATACATTAGTTATCGTAACGTGCTTTGGACCATTAACTAATATAGCATAGTACATTACTATTACCGGAATATATATAATATCGAACGATAATGCTATCTGTTAGTTTTATTAATAAATTGAGCATAAACGTATATTTGACAGTTTCGCTTACCAACCTTAACATAGCATTAATACTGCATATAGTAACCATCTTTATTCGGTAAACATACTAATACATTTACTTAAGGGAATTTGAATTGGTATAGAAAAGAACGATCTCTAGGGTTTACGTAAATATTATAGAGAAGGTGTAAGTGATTGATACACATTAGTAGGTACTATTAGTTCTATTGCTCTCAAGCATTTCGTAGTGTTACTCTACTGTAGTTCCCCTGTCCCGGTTATTTTTGATTGCTATATATCATATAACAAGTAGTGTTTCTAAGAGGATAATGTTAGTTAGTCAGCGATCTGATAGGCGAAAGCGAAGTGAACAACGTGGAAATGCACGATCAGTACGTACATTAAATCAATCTGTTTTAAATATAGTAGTACCCGGCTATTACCAGGATATATATAATGTCGAATGGTAATACTATCTGTTAATTATTAACAAATGGGTACATTTTCGTAAACCGTCAGCAAAGCGATGAGAGTTTGGACTAGTTTACTATAAAACAGTTATTACTCTCGTATTTATCTGATGTACTGTGGACTGCTAAAATTATTACCGAAATAAAAAAAACGAGTTAAACACTATTCTTAATGGCAATTCAATAGATATCGACGGCAATATGCAAATATAGATATATATGCTTAAACATAAATCTTAGAACGATCATCTCTAACCTAATATTGATTAACTTATGACATTTAAATTAAGTATTATTTCTACGATAAAAAGAACTATAAAGAATAATTCTGTATGTGACTGTACAGAGTAATTCTTTAAAGTTCATTTTATCGTAGAAATAATATTTAAATTAAATGTAATAATGCTGTATTAGAGTAGAAATATTTATGTAAGGATAATTTTGTTAGCCTATCCTTATTTAGTTAACTTCTAATTTGTATATACTGTGTTTTAATATAGCACTGGCTTTTTATGACAGTGACATGCAGTATATATATATATATATGTTATATACATATATTGAAATTAATAGTTATATTAGGGAACGTAAATTATCTACTTACAATTCGAATCATTATGATTATAACTTACTTATGGTAGATTGTAAATTATCGTGGAAATGTCCCATGATAGGACATATCGTAATCTGTTTATTCTTTATTAGTCACCAGAATGTCTATGTTCGTAAATACTGTTATCGGCATTAGGGAGCAGTAGCTAAAGTTAAGGTCTTATTCAGTGAATGATTCCAAAGTTAATCGTACTAACTATGAATCATGAACTATTGAGTAAGAGTATATAAATGTGGTATATCATGTAATAAAGTTAATTCTTAAACTTAGTGTTTAACGTAAAATGCGAGGCGTCTAAGTCTTTGTGTAGTCTGCTGGTATAGCAAAAGTGTTCCTAATAGCGCAGATATCGTTCCTTGATACGTGGTTCAAGGAATTGACTTATGATCGTACATTACGTTATCTTGTCGCAAAGCTGTTTCGTGATAGTGACCAATCATCACAGTTATACATATTCTCTATCCTTATTCGATTTACTTATTCTAAATGATCCATATTTCTACGATAATATATGAAGGAGAATTCTGAAATAGACTTCGATTGCAATCATCCATAATTAATAAAAATATCAATTACTATGAGTAGTATTGGTTGACAAAAATATAAAATTTTACTAATATTAAATTGAAATACCAAACATAGAAGTCCAAATAAAATAAATTAGGGAGAAAACACCAGTTTATTATAACTTTAACAATAATCTTGGCAAAAATTCTTAAATGAATAAAAAATACGGGCAGAACCGCTGCCCCAACCAACCAAACTATCGATTAATGAGATAACTCAGGATTATTCTAGACTTTTCTTGCCTTCTCTAACTTTAACTGCGCTAAATTACCGAACTACGCCACCTATTATATGCTAAGCAGAGCAGTTGGCGGTATTAGACTATCTAACTATTATTCTAAAGTAATCCAAATTAAACTAGCAACCAAACACACATGATAAGATAAATTATACCCTAGACTCCCGAAAACTACTAAATTAGTACTAAGTATAGTTTAGCTTGCAACTGTACATTTCTACAGTATACACTAAGACAAAATATCAATCCCAGATCAAGTGTTTGGGTTCATACTGCACGAAATTACAAAGTAACATTAACTTCTACTGTAATTAATGATCAAAATTAGTAACACATATATTCTATCAACTAAATATATCTTTTGAATTATAAAATCATAATATCTGATTCTTGAAAAAATTATGTAACGGATTATCTTAGCTTCTAACCCAAATGAAGCAGTCAGGTTTACAATATACTAAGATACCAAGTAAAATCTACTATTATAATCAACCAAGTAAGTCATATTTTTAAAGTAAGAATACTTATCACGATACAAAAACTAAACTAGAACAATTACAATAAAAGAACTTGAAGGAAAACTCTAAAAATTAACCTTCATTGCAAATGCTTGTAATTGAAGTCTATCTATACTACGGATTTATAATTACCGTATATCATTTATCGACGTTTTAATGCAAGTAGTATTGACAGCATATGTGCTGTTTACATCCAACTTACTCCGATAAAAAAATTTATCTATTTCACTATAATCTGGATAGTTTACAATATCTAGAAGATGAGTTACACAAGATTTAGCGAAACTTCCTGATATTTTCAAGCGCTTAGAATAACCATAGTACATCGTTTTTGATTCTGTAGGTGTACAAGGATCAAGTATATCTCCTTTACCTAGATCAATAACATTAGATGCGTTACTAGGACAATCTTGATTAGCTCGCATAATCCACGGGCCGACCTGATTTCGAGCAAGTCCAAATACATGGTATTTTACATCAAGTGATTTAGAATGTTGAGTTTTAGTTTGATCGTAGAAAACTTCATGTAATTCGTATGCAAGTCTACAGACATTAGATGACATAGTGCAAATTAAATAATCACACTCGGCCAGTAAGAATAAATCTCGAAGAAAGTATTTTAGATTAGTTGCGGAATATCTCGAAGTGAATGTACCAGCTTTTAATTGTTTAATCGGGGGATGAGTAAATTGATAATTAGGATACTTTGTGACTAATTGAGGAATAAACTTTGGTGTATCGGTAACTACAAATACGCGTCTTTTAATATTGATTTTATGTTTTGCTAAGCGATTATAAAATGCATTGACTTGAATCATATATTGATTAATATTGAATAATTTACTTTCGAATGCTTTATCCGTATGTCTAAGGTGTATACCAACGATAGGACTCTGAAATTTCAATTCATTACGAGATTGATCAATAAATTTTTGTAAATAATGATTAGGTTGTATAATATATAGCGCTATAACTCCAATCCACCAAGCCATAGGTTTATTTTTAAATTTCATAACATCATAAAATAGTTTTTCAGGCATAGCATAATTGCAAATGGCCGGCCCTATGTGGTAATCTTCAAGTACGGATCCCACATTCTTCAATCGTATAATCTGAGGAATCTTATTAGAATTACTACCGTTGGCAAAATCTTTAGGAAGACGACTTTTCCATACAACAGCCGCTTTAGCATCATGAGCAGTAAGCTTGCATTTGGAAATTGGTTGGAAAAAGTCTTCAAAATGATCAACACCGTCTTTGGAAATTACATTTCGTAAATAAGACCATTTACTTGTATCTATAAGCATAGTTCGATTGGTATAGTATGCGTAAATTAAGCAATAAGCCCAATGATGGATTGTCGAGCCCATACCCGCCCGATGATGGCCACATATTATTTTTTTAGCAGTAGAGCAATTTTTAGGATTTTGTATGGCATTGAGACGATAACGAAACATTTCTGTAAATTCAATGCAGCTTTGTTTCTGTGAATATTAATTAGAATTAGACAAAAAAAACAGTAGCAAAACGTTAATATAGTACAATCGCAAAAGTATTAATCGTTTTAGTTCGTAAAATTTTACCGAAACTGTCTGCGGGCTGGCCGTTGTAGTGGGTACTAGTAAGAAATGAAGGTAATTATAGTTATAGATTTACTAGAAGCTATTACATTATATAATGACACAGAAATTTTTATACTTTAGATTGTAGCTTATATAGTCCAGATTGCCAACTCAGATAACATAACAAATCTAATGCATGAGATATATAAGACTGAAACTGTTTTAAAAAATTACAAATGGTATAATTTCATACGGAATACTGCAAATGATTAGGATGTGCTTTAGCCTATTATTAAGATTGCCTATTGATCAATGAGTAAATTTTTACTCTTAAATTAAAACTGTAACTCAGTACTTTATCGGTTCAGTAATGAGTAGTGATCTTTATATTGTATGATGTAAATAGTTAAACGATATTAGGATGAGGATAAATTGCGTAATAGAATAACATATTCACTAGCGAGTACAGATAATAAAGGAATTAACACTTGTATTTCCTTTTTAAAGTGTCGTACTATTAGCCATGATTGACTTATGTTTTTAAATTCTGATCCTATATCTACATTAATAAATTGGAACAATTACATGCATTAACATGGACTATTCTAAATTATGTCAATGTAACGTACCAGAATTTGCTTTGTATTTCTTAAATTCAGGGTCTGGAATTTTGATAGAGACATAATTATAGCGAATCAATTGATAACGGTAGAGAAGCAACAAGGACATCACCACAATTAAGATGGCCACATAAGTAATTAAACTTTTTAACAACATGATCGATGAGGAACTTGGAATGGATTTTAAGTTGAGAGACGACCTAATGAGATGTTACGATGATAGCGCACCACTTGTTGAAACCGAAGAAGAGAGAGAAGTTAAAGAGTATCGCAAAATCTTTATAGTTAGATTTTGCAGTAAATGATACAAAAAGTGTATCAGTACAGAACAATCTTATAAATGGATATTAGCTTCGATGCGATCCAATACGTGTAGATCAAAGGAAATCATTTATATGATGCTACTTGTTGTGGACTTTAAGCTTGGATACGATCCAATTAGATAGTTACCTCGCTGTTGATGGATATTATTTGTTATTATCGTCGATGGAAAAATAAGCCAAGTTGATAACTTTGTAAGGTCGATATCGAAGGGTTACAGTTTCCTTTGCAATAAAATGAGGTAAATTTACTATTCCAATGTTTGTAGAAGTACCAATGGTGTCATAAGGATTTGCAATTTTATTCTATGAAGTTACTGTGTCGGGTAATCTTTCTTCAATAGAATATCTAATCTTTAATTTATGAAGCTTTACCGAAGACAAGATACTCTACGTTACGAGAAATGACTGGAGATATAAATTATGTTACATTCGTACAATTAAGTGAAATTCGTACAAGTTAGCAGTTTAAGATTGGAGCATTTCAAACTGTATTAAACACTCCAAATTAGAACAAAATATTACGTTAAGTAATATCTACTCTATCTTTAGCTTGCCTCAGCTGAAATCTACACTATATTATATTACTAGAAATTGAACAAGAGTTATGGATTAATGTAATCGCCGAGTTAAGCCAAAATTTGTGATCTTTTTATTCGATAAGGCATTTTAAATCGTCTAGCGTGGCATTATTGAATGGAAGCTTTCATAATGCTAGGTTTATTCAATCTCATGAATACAAAATCGATTCTGTCTCATCATCTCTCTATTTAGCTTTTCATAAAATACGCAGCGGGAGAGCTGGGTCAAAAATATTCCTGGATAGGATAGCATTGATGAAAGCATGATGATTAATTGCAAGAGCTGTAAGATAGAATGAATACATTTTATTAAGTCGGTACATTGATGACAAATAGCTTGTAAAGTAGTAAGAGCCAGCACCTAAATGACGAAATTTCAGATTGGATACAACTAATTCGGAGTATCAGCATGGCGCTTTATGACCTATTGCAAATCATACAAAGGCATTGATTCATCGCTGTAAAAGAGGCGAGTTACTTTTAACGTTATAATCACAGCAATAGATATGGGAGCGGTCTACATTTTAGGGAAATCTTCTTCTATTATATATTATATTAAGCCTCTATATTCATCAATTATCGAATGATCTATTCTATGAAGTAGGCGGAAGGCCTATACGAATAAATTAATATAAATAAGATAGATTACGTATTTTAAAGTTTCGTTTAGATATAGAAAATAAATTGTATAGCTTTTGGTATTAATGTGTCTCATACGTATTAGTCTAGGTTTACTCTATTTATTGTTATCGTGATGATGCCAGAATAAGCAAATGGTAAGCAAATAGTAATTGTGATGGAGAGGCCGAAGAATCTGCGGACATAGACTCCTTAGGCATTTTACAATAATAATACGAAGGGTTATTAGAAATGAGATATTTATTGTAGAGAATAAGTAGGTACAGCATGGTAGTTACTGATAGATCAGCGTGTAAGCTGCCGTGAAGTAACGTGAGTAGATACTAACACTAACAAGTGCAACTGAACAAATCCGAGGCAGGAATCATCAATATTTATAGTTTTAGAGAAAGAATACATGCACAGAAAAGGATTGTATAATTAGATATACCATATACCGTAAACAGGCTATATAATAGTAAATGATTGTAGGTCTACTTCTAGAATACTAACTGATCGTTACTTCGCTTACTGATCATCTTCATGGTGCGGTATGACTTTACAAGCCAGGAAAAGTGCGAGATCTTAAAAATTGTAGGCTAGACTTTAGTAACATTATTTGATCCTTTGACTAAATTTGCATATTGTATTTAGATTGTTTTCTTCTTATTATTCGTTCCTATACTTAATAATATTGATTATAATTATCAAAGATACAAAAAGGCAAGACGTAATATCGTGATGAGTACTAAGTGCTAATTGGTTCTCAATTGATTCACAACTAATTTAAAATTTATAAAGGTTGTTTAAGCCCTATTTCATACTGAGACCTTATAGTCATTCATACTAAAGTATATTGATTCTATGCTAAAGCTTATCTAGTATGCACCAGGATACTGGTGCAAGAGTATAAAAAGAGCCGCTGCTATATGCTCAGGGGTTTTGAGTAGTCAGTTAGTAGTGACTGTTCTTCCGATCTGATCTAGTGTCGCTGACTCAAATCTATGTTAGTCTTGGTTGTCAAGGTTTTACTGTATTAATAAAGCTTTATTATTACTCAAGCCAGCTAAAGTGTACTACTTCGGTTGTCGTTAAGGTTAAACTACGGCATTCAGTATTACATTAGACTAGTCAATACGTTAGCTAGTGCTCTAGAGTACGATCTCGTGTTACATTCTAAATCAGCTTGTGACACAGTTATTGAGTGTATTAAAGTGTCTGAAGAATTCCATCACAACAGGCTATTATATGTTAGAAATTTATTTTAGGGCGGTATGAGAAACAACAAATGTTAGGATAAGGAAATCAATTTATATATCAAATAAAATTATTAATTTTATTCGATTTGGATTGACCTATATTAATTTTATTCGATTTGGATTGACCATGCTGACCTATTGTAATGTAACTTAGTATTGTGATTGTAGACTGTTAGCCACGTTTAGTATAATGTACGGTAGATATTTATCCTAAGAGATAATTGGTAGCCATAACTATAGGCTGCAGTGGTATACAATCTATGCTAGAGTACAGATTGCTATATACAGTAAGGTGTTGAGTTACTAATAAGGTTATGGGTAAAAATAAAACTGTAAATCATATATTAGGATATGGTTAATTCATTGTACTTTGGCTGGTGTGAATAATGTCTACGTAAATACTGTAGTCGTATCCTTATAAATGATGGTCCGCAGTAGAATAGTGTTACTAAGAATAATTAACTATGTGTAAAATAAGGTAAAAGGTTGCCATGCGGATTGTAGCTGCGAATGCTACGAAAAGTATAAAAGCATGCAACTTTAGATTATTCTGTTAGTTCGTTGTAGAAGTCTTTAGTAGTAGTATTCGGCTAGAGTAGAGCTGTGTGTAGTTAATATTTGTATTAGATTCAATAAAGCCATTATTTTTCTAAATTTTGGAATTTCGTGATCGGTATATATCACAACTATGTAGACCGTATTTAAGAATTAACAGCGATCGCTATTTGACATTAAGTATAAGCTAGTTTAAAATTTTTACTGTACATGTAGTCGTTATACCAAATCAAATACGCTTATTTTCTCATTATCGAAATAGTAAGTAGCAGGATTTTCAGTTGTGTAATTGCTCGATTGTGATCTGTATAACTTTAAATAAATTCAATTTTAATATAGTATTGCTTTCATATGATCTTGAAAGGCAGGCAGTAAATTCTTACACTTCATTGATTATACGGTTATTGCATATATAATGATACGCCAGCAACTTGGATATGCAATAATAATAACGACGTAAAGTGTTCTGTGGTTTTCTCTGTTAGTACGACATTTGCAGCGGTCGCAGGCACATACAACAACAATCCTAAATGTAAATATAAATGCAATCCTACATTATAGCCTGTAGCACAGCATTCAGAGCTACAATCCGTATTCTGGCAATCCCGTGGATATGTCTTGTACAGTATTTTACAGTACCATACAGTGTAAGCTTACAAAATAGTATTGGTGCGTATTTAGTTGATTGAAATGCTAGAAAGAATTAATAAAATTGATATCATTCAATATGAATTGGAATAAAGTTTTATTTAATAGCTAACAGGTATTTCTAACAGAAGACAAACACAGGAACTACGGCATCGATTTGCGGCGATTGCTAACATACAAATTAAAATAAAATTGCATTAAAACATTCCTTTTTTTTTCGACGGTTGATAACAACCACGAAATCTGTCAAGAATTTTTAAATCATATCGTCAGTAGCAGTTTTATCGTATAGTGTACCGCCAAAAAATGTCGTCTATTCCATGGTCTTTACAAATTAATTAAACCAAATGCAAATGAAATAAAGTTATACATAACGAACACATTCCATTCTCATATATATCGACTAGTTTACTAGTCGATATATAGTTTGTTTAAGGCTTACCGATAGCTTATGGTTACTTTCTCACACTATGGTGATAAGGTACTGCAAGTAAAATACAAAATAATTATAGAACAATCTGAGCTTATTAATAGTAAAGTGTAGTTGTTACACTTTTAGTATCTTTCACTAACTGAGAGAGAAATTGCTCCAAGTTCTCTAACTGGTCACAAAGCTCTAATAGACGTAATCGGGAGTCAACAATGATTTAACTTTATTCAAACTTCCGTTAATCTTCCAATTTTAAACGTATAACATTGCCATTATTTAGTTAAAATTGTAAATTTGAATTATTCCTAAAGTAAAATTTACCATATAGGAGAATCTAATAACAAGCCCCTTATCAAAGTCATTCATACATTTAAATCATTACCTGATTTAATCCGTATAGATTATATCTATTTCTATGTTGGAATTTCCTATGAAGGAAAATTTCAAATTAAACTTCTTCTAAATCATCTATAACTGATAGATGAGCATTTATGTCGCTACAATTAAAATATATCTATGTTTATAAGGCGTAAATGTCGCTTATTGATGACTTAGTACAAATATTATTTAATGAATATGTTCTGTTTACGTCGATCTCACCCCAATAAAATGATTCATCTACTTTACTATAATCTGGATAGTCTATAATATCTAGAAGATGAGTAACACAAGATCGAAGAAAATTTCCTGATATTTGTAAACGTTTAGAATAACCGTAGTACAGCTCTTTTGATTCCGTAGGTACACAAGGATCAAGTATATCTCCTTCAAGTAGATCGATAGTATTAGATGTATTACTAAAACAATCTTGATTGGCTCGCATAATCCATGGGCCAATCCGATTCGGAGCAAATGCAAATATATGATATTTTATATCAAGTGATGTAAAATGTTGACTTTCTGTTTTATTATATATAACTTCGTGTAATTCGTATGCAAGTCTGGCGACATTAGATGACATAGTGCCAACTATATGATGACACTCAGCTAGTAGAAATACATCTCGAAGAAAATATTTTAAATTGGCGGCAGAATATCTCGTCGTATATGTACCGGCTTTTAACTGTTCTATCGGAGGATGAATAAATCGGTACTTGGGATACTTTGTAATTAGTTGTTCAATTAGCCAAGGTTCATCAGTTACTACAAATACTCGTCTTTTTATTTTGTACTCGGCTGAACGATTGTAAAATTCGTCTACTTTAATCATATATTGATCAATGTCGTATAACTCATTTTCGGATACTTTATCGGTACGTCTAATATGTAGACCGACGATAGGGGTCTGAAATTTGAATTTGCTGCGAGATTGATCGATAAACTTTTGTAGATAATCGTTAGGTTGTATAAGATATTGCGCTATAGTACCAATCCACCAAGCCATAGGTTTATGCTTAAAATTCAAAATGTCATAAAATAGTTTTGTAGGCATAGCATAATTACAAACGGGTGGTGCCTCGGGCAGATTTTGGAAAAGAATGCCTGCTCTTGGCAATCTTATAACTTGTGGGATCAATTCAGGATCGCTTTTACCGTTAACGATATTATTAGGATTAGGACTTTCCCATACAACAGCGGCATTACTATCATGAGCGGTAAGTCTACACTTGGAAATCGGCTGAAATAAATCTTCAAAACGATCAACCCCATCTTTACTAATAACATTTCGTAAATAAGACCATTTACTTGTATCTATCAGCATCGTTCGATTAGTATAGTATCCATAAATCAAGCAATAAACCCAATGATGGATTGTCGAGCCCATACCAGCCTCTTTATGATCGCATATAATTTTTTTAGCAGTAGAGCAATCGTCAGGATTCTGTATATAGTCGAGGCGATTACGGAGCTTTTGAGTTAGGCTCATGCAGTTATCTTGCTGTTGATATTAATTAGAGTAAGATAAATGTTAGTTTTATATAGACAGAGTATAATTAAAAATGGATTAATCGCTATAGCTAATAATAACTTTTACCGAATGAGTTTGCTGGTTGGCTGTTGTAGGCGTATTCATTGTATAACTTGATGGAAATACAGAATTCAAATCAAACGCTGTAGTTTTTACTAATATGCAATAAAATTTAAAATAAAGAATTAAGCAGATAATTATTTTCTTATCTAAGTCTCTAAATTCTAACACTTTATCTATAAACTCATAAATCGGAATAATTATATGCTTCAACGTAGATCAGTCTAATTATATCAATGTGTAGTACCAGAATTTGGTTTGATTTTCTTCAATTCAGTGTCTTGAATTGGGATATGTTTTAGCTTATATTGGAGACATATTAATAGATAAGGCTGGATAATCAGCAAGGATATGAACGTAATCAAAGTGAACCCATAAGCAAAGACACTTCTTAATCGCATGGTGGATGAGAACTTTTAAATTATATTTTATCCAATGAGATGTTCATTTCATAGTGATAGGATAACATTTATTCCAGCCAAGAAAAGAAGTAGTGGCTATTGCGATATCTTGATGTTGGTTATTTTATGTAGTTAGCAATATAAATATGGTATCAAATGTTGTAACAGCATATAGTAATCTTATAAGTGAAATCAAGCTTGAATACAATTCAGTTAACAGTCATTTCACAATCAAATGGTATCATTGGATTCCAATTGCAGGGAGATGCGGGAAATTTCGAATTTATGGTACCAACGTACTGTACCAACAGAAAGTGGTCCTGTAGTACTGTACACTATACTGTACTCAGTGTACTGTACTGTACTGCACAGACTGTGTAACTAACCATGCATATCCCCCGTTATTAATAATGCACTACGTAACGACATGTAACAGTACTGTACTGTACTGTACTGTATACATAAGTCTCATTTGTACTGTAGCGGAAACGCTTTTCAGAAGAAGAGTAAGAAGCATAGGGGCAAAATTGCTAAACGACTAAATGACTTCCTTACTTTCTTGCCACTCTCGAGCTTCCGAATCCGAAGCCCTGTGCTTACTGTGCTGTACTGTACAGTACAGCGTACTGTACCGTACAGTACTGTACACTGCGTTACAGTACTGCACTATACTGTACAGTACGTACTGTGTAACTCTGCCGGCGTTACTTCAGTACAGACTTACGGTACGCAGTAATACAGATTGGAACCGAAGAACTGATAATGGTACAATCTGTAGCCATCTGTAATACTGTACGTTAGACCATATCGAAAAACAGCTTTGCTAAGATTTTCAAAATGCATCATCACTACAGTTTAGACTATCCTCAAATGGACTAAATGGCCTAAATTTAAACGAAATTTTATTATTCCCCAGTGGCCTATCGCCATTTTAAGTAAGCATCGGAAGCCATCTTGTTTTGATGACAGAACTACTTCTGAGCAAACTCAATCGCTCCATCCAACATGCGAAATACGACACAGTACAATGTACTGAGATTTTACTATATCGTACTGTAAAATACAATGTACAGTATCTGTATAAATTGTAATGGCATAAACTACTAAAAATACCTTCGAAGGTACTTTTAGTGGTCCATAGTTATAGTAATAATGATCATGTTGTATGACTTCTATAATATGACATATGAATCATCGATACTGTTACGAATATGACTTTATCATACTCTAAACAAACATAATGAGATTGTTTTAGAGAGTTTTCAATAAAATTTAAGCAGCTTCATGCATAAGATTGGATCACTTTGTAAACTAGTAATGAAAATTATACGTATTCTTTTTTACTAACAATATGCATTACCTCTTCGCTTTGTTGATACTGCTAGTACGGTAATAATCTGAAATAGTGTATAAAAAATTGGGATCGGATTATTAATTTGCTACAAAATATTTCATTAAGACTGGATAAGTTTTATTTCAACATTTGTAAAAAGTTCAGATACAGCTGTCATATGAGTAGATTGGATGATCACTGCTAAAGTGTGGATGCCGTTTGATTATCTTCGCTGCGGTGGTACCTAAAGTGGCTGTTAATGTTGTAATTTGTTCAGTAATATCCGACTGTAATACTTTAATTATATCATATGTATCGCATCATTAAGATGATTACCTACTTAATCATACAAATGCGAGCAGTTTAATACGAACATGCTCGCTCTAACAGAGAAACAACTGGTATTAATAATTTTATCTATTATTATGCAGTCTTCCCAAAGAATTAATTCCACATTTTTATTACGTTTGCATTAGCCGAGATCGGATTTTAGTAGGATCAGATGTACTAAGGAAAAAACGCAAGTTAAGTTAACAATGGTTTTTCATTAATGTAAACGAAGTGCGAATGAAAGGACGCAAGTTAAGCCACTAGAGATTCCCATTGCGGTATATCAGTTTAATTAGACGTAAAATACAGTACATTAGTCGAGGTTCCCATCAGCTTCTCCGAACTCAATTAAACGTTATTAACAGTATCAGTAGTTAGCAGTTATTTCTACGCTAAATTAACAGCTTTAAGCCAAGAAATAAACTTCATATTCAATACCGTAACTAATGCTATTAATTATATATCTATTAACAAAAGCTGTTATTCTAGTGTCTACTAAATTGATCTTACGTATTTAATAATTAATTAAAGGCCCTATAGAGTTGAGAAAGAAATTATGATTATTTTCATAGCGAAATAGTCAAGTAATAAATTATAGGGAGAGAAAACTATTTATTGGTGTACTATGATGTTTACAGAAGATTAGGCGAACCTGGTCAATATCTAATGAATATGACTAACTTCCTATAATGTCAAAATGATCCTTCTCTTGTAAAATATTCTACCCGCTACTACACCTGTATTTAATAGCATAACACCCTTAGCAAGACCTTCGGGCAGCTGCAATCCCTGTTGTTCTATAGGAGATTGCATCGTTTGATGTTGGCATATCAATCCTTTCATAATAAATCTTTAGGAAGCTCATATGATAATCTTTATGACTAGTATAAAGCTTCTTGTCGTATGTAAACACAATAATGCTATGCATCCTATTTTAATAATGATTATAAAGTATTTTATTATTCTGTATAGTATTTGACGATCTGCTAGAAATCATCTTGTTCTGGTTGTGTGTTCTGCTATTTCGTATATCGTTTCTTCGTAGAACTATTGTAACTATGAAGTTGGTAGGAAAAATGTCGATCATAACTAGTGAAATAAGACATCAATAATAATTGCATGTTAATTATGGATAGTATTATTGAATTGAACTGCTTCTTTACTTAAAGTAGTGTTATCAATTCTACATTTCAAGGAGGTATTTCTGGTTCGAGTTTCATCCCTAAATTTTGAAAAAATAGGCAGTTTCTTCGCTCAACCCAGAATCAAATAATCTACGTCTATTCCCTAATAAATTATTATCAGATTATTTTTCACATATTTTACGGATAATAAATTGCATTATTTTACTTTTCGATAAATGGTTCTAATGCTACATCAAATGTAGTTGAACTTCTAGCAATGATCTCTTGTTTAAGCTAATTATCATGAAAACTAGCCGCTTCATGTAGCAAATTTTGGTCTCAGGAAGACCAAATATCAGAACTGTGCTGTTTGTCCAGAGATGCGGCAGCGCTTTTAATCACATGTTGTTACGGAGTAACTTTTACGTAGCTATCGTAACATAGATTTCATAAGATAATCTTTCTAGGAATGTATTTACATACCGCTATCTTTGAAGTTTTACATATTTTTAATAGACAATTGTATAGTTTTATATTATTATCAAGAAACTGATAATTTATGTTAATATCGATTCACTATAATTTAACTAATTTTTCAATAAAGTTTGGGTTCAGTTAAGTCTAAGAGAGATTAGTGGTGTTACTGTTCCTTCTGATGATAGGTGATCATCGGTATTTAGAGTCGTACTGTAGGTTAATGTCAGGGAGAACAACCTGATGGTAGACTCGTAGAATAATTTATATAATAGTTTTAACTTTTCCTCGTTACAAATTTCGATTTGAAACACATGAATACTTAAACTTACGTGCATCAGTATCCCACCTACTAGAAAACTCTAATACAAATTCGAATGAAAAGTATTCTATCTCTATGTATACTGGACTTTAGCCTCTAAATTATGAAATAGAGATGAATATTGTCTAACATAACATGAAAAAAAGTAGTAATGAAAAAGCCATGATTTATCGCCATTAACGAATAGCTTCGAATGGACTTATAAACGTTAACAGATTAATTAAACAAATACGCAAAAGCTCTAGAATTATTCGCTTAGTCCAACTATTTCATAAAAAATAAATCGGAATTACTCACTGATACAGAATATCCCACTTTTTAATTTTATAAATCCGGCTACTTCTGAACCTCTGCACTAAATTAATAAAGAGCCAAACATAACCATTTCTATGTGTTCTAACTGGTACCGGGTAACAGCCCAGACTATGTCCCTGCTCTGGAATATACCACATGGGCTGGTTCTAATAGACTACGCGTATATTGGAACGAATAACTGAATGAAAAGATCAGTTATAACGTAGATAATGCAGATGGATGAGCATTATGTGCCTCAATGCAAATTTCCAACTTATATTTAGATTCTCGTCACCTTGGCTAGGCTTTTCTTTAATTTGATCGTGACAATTATTCATAAAATTCTCTTAAATAGTGATACAGAACAATACCACCTATAGCGCTAGTCATGATCATATTAACAAAAGGCCGAATTCAAATACAGTAAACATGTAAGTACTAGAGGCGCTGTATAGACGTCAGAATCCTCGCTGCGCTGCGATGAAATATGACCTATTGCGAAATGTTGCTATTAGCTGCAATATGGTACTAACGGATAACTTTGAAGTTATTTCATGCTTTCTACGTTTAACCGGTTTGAAATTTCTATAATAAGATGGAAGATACGATATTATGCTAGAAATTTGCAATTGTGTACTGGGAAGTGATTTTATTTACTAATTATAATAGCCTAACTTAATACGAAGTAGAAGCTACAGAAAGCATAAATTTTACCGATGAGAGTCACGTAAATAAGTGATCTATAACAACACAATGTATTCTAAATGCTCATCTACATTAATTTAATTATAATGCAAAATGTTCAAATATAGTGTATTAAAGGACTAAAAGCAGAGTTCTTTATAGCTTTTAGTATGTAACTATTTTAATTTACTATAGAAAATACCTAGAAAGTCACAAAATCTTTTAGT